AAGGAAATCAACCCTAACTGTTCTTTAGAAGGACAGATACTGAAACTGGAGCTCAAATACTTTTGCCACATAATGAGAGGGAAGGACTCATTGGGAAAGACCCTGATGCTGGGAAAGACTGATGTCAAGACTGACGGTTAGATAGTGTCACTGATGTAATGAACATGAATTTGGGTGGACTCTGGGAAACAGTGGAGGGCAGGAGGGCTTGGCACTCTATCGTTCATGGGGTCACAAACAGTCAGGCCACCATGTCTTTCACTTCCTTTTACTATGTTGCTTTCTACCTTTTTTCTTGGATTCCTTTTTCATGTTGGCACCACCTTTGTAGCCAGGGATTCACCTGGAGTAGTTTTCTTCCCTTTGTATTCCTCTTCTAAGTATTTAGAAGGATAGATGGTAAAACTCTCTATAGTTTCCTTCACAAAGCTTCAAAGTCTGGTGTGATTTCTTCATTTGTTCTGATATGGAGGAGAAGGAAAGGATACATGTTGATTTCAGGCAAGAAAACAAATACTGCACAGACTTTGTTGGATAATTTTTTCCATCCATGGTCTGTACTCCATTTTTGACTCTACTTTATTGATTGTACTGGAATGGCCTGTGCTTTGTCTTCCCTCCCCAGAAGGTTAAAAACAGAGCCCTACTAGTATATAAGTGTATGTTACAAGAAGAAAAGAAAAGTTAGGGACCTCTGGTGCCAAAACTTCACTGCCAAACTCCTGTTCTCTTGTTTGTTCACTGTGATTGCTTACTCTCAGGTCTACTAGCTTGGCCTAGTGGGACAGCTTCTTCTGCTTTGCTCAGATAGGAGTCAAGAAACAGAATTAGGAGACTAAACAGAAGTTCAGGCATTATTAGGAACCTTGTAGCAAACACAATTTTGTTTAGAAATAGAATTTGGAGGCAGAATCTTAAAGATATTTTCTCCTTACAATTCTCAAATGGTTGTGCTCAGCTCAGGACCTTTTAGTAGCTTTGCATTTTTACAATGCATCTCTCTTGGACTCAAAGACAGGAGATCAAACAGAGTGCAATGTGCCTGCTGCATAGCAATGCAGGTCAAATTGAATCCCTTCAGTATGGGGAACCAGTATCTGGACTCTATGGCACTTTACCGGGGGTTAAACTCTCTCTTTTTCAATATACAAGGCAAATGGATCTATCTAGACATACCAACAAGAAGATTCAACAGGAAAGCAGGGAACTCTGAAACATGGGATTGGTGATTGAGTAGAGTGAAAAAAAGTCATACTAGGAAATGGTCACCAGAAGCTGTAATGGAAGTCATTTGGACTCTGAGCTGCACCCAACAAGCATGAGGGATACCAAGGCAGAAAGAAGGAACAGATACTGTTGGATCTCCAAGACACTTACAGTGTAGACCCAGAATGAATCAAAACAAAGGCAATAAACAGTTGGCACAATAAAAAGAGAGCTGAAGGACATTCCTTGCCTCTTGATTGACATTTTTTAATTATGCAAGAGAGTCACAATATAGTAGAAGGTAATAAGTTCTGGATGTTAAAAATGAAAGGTATTGTTAAAATAATCCAGATGGCATCTGAACCTCTTGAGCAGTCTAGGGAGTGAGAATGCTTCAGGATGCTCTAAATTTCCTACAAAGTTTCTGGACTGGGTTGGTAGTGTGGCAGTAAGGGAGGCATTTGTATGTTTCCATAGTTTCCGGGGCCAGTCCTCTTCCATCTAATTAATAAAGGAAGCATGTACACAATGTAGCGTCTGCTCCTGTGCAGCCATCTAGAGCCTTAACAACATTCCTGGCATCCTTCCATGCTCTTTCCAGAACCAGAATTTATTCTTGCAGAAGGCATCAAGCTAATACTGATGAATATATAGTAAACTCATCCAGAATACCAGCATGTATGAGCTCTTTGTAATAGATACTTTGTCAAATATCTTGCTAAAATCAAGGTAATATAATTATCCACATTATGTCCATGATAATAGCCATGTAGTTTCTTTGGTCTGCTCAACTAACTATATCAAAAAAGAAGATGGGGTTGGTCTGGCATGACTTATTTTTGATAAAGCCATGCTAGTTCCTAGTAATCAGTACATTTTCTTCTCTGTGCTCATGGATCAACTGCTTAATGCTCTGAACAATAATAGTCAGTGTAATGACTAATAATTAATCTTTAGGGTATTCTCATGCTTAGATCCCAAGAGCTTTCAAGCTTAGAGAATCTCTTGGGTCCCATTATCTTAAAATATTTATTTTGTCTTTGTAATTTTGATGATGGTTTTGTGAGGCAAAACATTTTTTCTAAACTCTAAAACAATGTTATTGAACTAATTGAAACTACTGAGAAGTCTAATTGCAGATTCTTATTGTGAGTATGAATGTATGTGTAGAGTTGCACCAGCATAACTGGGGACCATTCTCTTAGCTGTAATGTTTATTCTTACAAACTTTATTATAATGGTAATAATAATTACTTTCAACCATGCAACATGATATTTCAGTTAATGCCCAAAAGCCTAGATAGCTTTTTAAGTGGCATGTAAAAGGGCTTACCAGTAATTGCCATCCTTATCTGTCTACACAGTGGCTTTGGTGTAGATGGGGGTCCCCAACAGAAGTAAGCATATTCAGAAGTAAGTTCCATTCAGGTCATTGGAGTTTATTTACACAGCGGACAGGTACATGCAACATGTAAGTCAGCTGCAGTCTAGTCTAGAAGTCACACTCTTTGTGATAAGCCTGGCAGACAACTGGACTCATCATCCATAGGATGCACCATGCTCCCCTCCTCCTCCCTTGGTCCTCCTGCAGGTATCCCATGAAACATCACAGGAACACCAGGGCTCCCCTCCTCACTGCCACTTGTCAGCAGGGGGACAGAGAGCAGGGATTTCTAATAGTCCTTACCCAATTAATCAGTGTTGGCACTGCTGCTGATCTTAACAGATGTAGCCTAATCAAGCTTGCTGGGATTGTCAGCAGTGTTGTCTTGGCTTGCTTCTCCTGTACAGCATGCCGCCTCCTGGCACTGAATAGGGGAGGGGAAAACCACACTCTACTTGGCTTCCTCTAGAGTGCATCTTTCCTCTGGAAGGCACCACCACCCCAGCTCCAGCGCTTGCCCTTCTCCCATGTGACATTGCTCAGTCAAACAGCAATGGTGCTAGACAGGAGTAACCAAGAATAGAGCAGGAGCAGCTCAACCGATTCATGACAATCTTTGCCTTGTGGCCATCAGCCAAAGGCTGCTCTCTATTCATAAAGAAGATCATGGCTTCCCATGCTCTACAATGCTGTTGCCTTGAATGTGGCAGAGCCATCTCCAAATGTCAGTTGAGTACTTTGGGGTCAGCTGTCAGAGTTGCTTCCCTGGCAGCTGCTTGGCTAGCATAGCAAGGATTTCTTGCAGCTCTTTAACAGTTTGGTTTACTCATAGCTTCAATGGGTTATCTGGGTTTGAGCAACGCAGCACACTCTCTGGTGACTGCTAAACCCTATAACAAGCCATGGCTTGTTGGGATGGTTTATAAGTCCAGACCCTGGGTTCTAAGCCACCCCAAATAAACTGGCAGCTTCATACAGCAAGCCCTCCCCATGGTTTATAAGCAGCAGCAGGGGGAGGGGGGGAGGTTGTTGTGCCCTGTTTTACCAGTTAGTAAGTATGCTCAGGACACCAGCCTTAGGCAAGGGCAAATTCAATACATATCTGCTCTTTATGCATGCAAGTATTCATATGCTAAAGCTAGACCTCTCCCCATCAACTGGTTCCTTCCCCTTATGTTTTCGGGCTATCATCCTGATCCAAGCCTTCTTTTTCCATTTTTTCTTAAAATGACAGCTTCTTTGGTTTTGTGAAATAGGCGGGATTTTAAATTGCTGTAATGCAGCTGCATACTGAAGCAACAAGTGCCAAAATGTACTTTTCTGAACTAAGTATAGACTCTAGCAAAATACCCCATGAAACCCTTTTTAATAGCACTAACTGGTATATCTGCACACATTATATCTACCATGTACAGATGAGAACAATTAGAAAAGCTGATCTCAGAATTCTATTTCCCTTACATACAAACAGACAACAGCAAGATGCTTATTCAAATTAGAAAGAATAGTCTAAAGTTGCTGAAAGATCTGGTGGCACTGCTAACACCTGACATAGGTAGCAACTTCCATAACATATTCAGTTTGCTTGGATTTGACTTTAAATAATTACATGTTTGAAACTAGTGGCAAAGCCGTCATTTACCCATGAAATGAAAAGCGTTGGGACTAAAATAAAAGAAAAGGTCAGGATTGCATCCAGAAGGATTAGATAATTCAATCATTTGCTTACCATCAAGTTCAATGTTTACTAAAATTATGGCTTGTGGTAGGATTTGAGGCCATTTTTGTTGAATTTTTTTGGTGGGGGGACTTGCCAGGGATACTAGATATGATGTTTATTTGATTGAATCCAGACATAATTAAACAGAACAGACCAACTAAAGTAAATGGGAAGTTAGACTTTAACTTGACTCATGGATTCCTGGAAGTTTACTGTTAAGTACATCTATGTCTGAATCCTATCCATTGCAAGTAGCTGGTAGAGGAGCCCCCTGCTTGGATTGGAGTGATGACAGAGGCAGGGGGTTAATGCTCCTGTCTTCTGCAACCATGGTCCCCAACGACAGCTACTTGATTTTTATAAATTATGTATGCTGGGGCTAAAATCAAATATAGTTCAACTATGAGAAGGCAGATTGGGGGATGGTACAGCACCCCAAGCCACACATCACTGGAATTTCCCAGAAAATATTAAAAATACAAATTCAATATTAGCTTGGGAGTGGAAGAAGAGTAAGAAGCCTCCATTACATCAAACTCATTCCTTGTTTTGGAGAATGTAGACGCTTTCTTGCTATTTTGTGGCATTTTGTTTGGTCCTTAGAAAGACATATTGTCTGATTCTGAGAAAAACTAGGGAGATTAAATCATGACTGATTTCTAAATTTTATTTTTATGTTTTCTTTTACAGAGACTGTAATAGCAGAAACTCAGAAGAAAATCATAGATGCTTTTGAGGTGTTTGACCATGAATGTAATAAAACTGTGGACGTCAGGTTTGGCAGATCCATCTTTCAGAAATATCTGAGTTTTGTGTCAGTCACAATATTATGAATCTAATAGTGCTAGGAAGAAACTGCTATTTAATGTATATTGATAAAAAACCTGAATCATTATTGGAAAGAGATATGACAATTACTTGCAAAACAGCAAGAAAGTGCTAGGTAGTCTTTGCCATATGCATGTGCTTCTCAAGTTTGCCTCAGACACATTTGTATCGGAGTATTTGATGTTGGAAGCACCCACCCTCAGGAAAGCTTTATTAATTGACATTAAATTCCTGCCACCACAGAATTTTGAGATTCAGCTATCTTAAAACTCTTATCTTTACACAGGCTTTTACTGAAATGACCTGGCCAACCATGGTTTAATGGCACACTGTTTATGGTTCTGCCAGTTACTGTATTTTTTGTGTATTATTATTATTATTATTATTATTATTAGAACATTTCTATGCCGCCCCTTGCCGAAGCCTTGGGGCGGCTTACAAACACAATAAAATACAATAAAATACAAAAATAACAACATAAAATTAAAATTAACAATATAAAATAAATAAAAATATAAAATATAAAAGAAGTCACCCTGGCCAGATAAATAAGCAAATATTGTTAACAATTAAAGTGACCTTTAAATAAAAAGGTCTTCACCTGGCCCCAAAAAACAAGTAACGACGGCGCCAGGCGGACCTCTCTGGGGAACGCATTCCATAGATTGGGCGCCACTGCAGAGAAAGCCCTCCTCCAAGTACCTACCCTCCTAATTTCTTTCATGAAGGGTTCCCGGAGAAGGGCCTCTCCTGCAGATCTCAAGCGTGGTCGGGCATATATGGATGTAAGCGCTCCTTCAGGTAACCAGGACCCAAGCCGTTTAGGGCTTTATAGGTCATAACTAACACCTTGAATTGGGCCCGGACTTCAATGGGAAGCCAGTGAAGCTGACGGAGGACTGGAGTCATGTGAACATAACGCCCCATCCCCGTCAGCAACCTGGCAGCTCTATTTTGAACCAATTGAAGTATCCGGACCGTCTTCAAGGGAAGCCCCACGTAGAGCGCGTTACAGAAGTCAAGGAGGGAAGTCACCAGCGCGTGTGTCACCGTTGCCAGGCAGTCGTACTCCAGGTAGGGGCGCAGCTGATTAATCAGCCGAAGCTGAAGGAAAGCGCTCCTCGCCACCACTGTCACCTGAGCTTCCAATGAAAGCTCCAGGTCGAGGAGCACTCCTAAGCTGCAGACCTTGTCCCTAAGAGGGAGTGCAACCCCATTCAGGACAGGTCAAATCCACCCTCTCCGAAGCCCGATCCGCCAACCAACAGGACCTCCGTCTTGTCTGGATTGAGCTTCAGTTTATTGGCCCTCATCCAGCCCATTACCTTGGCCAAGCACCGGTTCAGCACAGCCACTGCCTCACCTGGATTGGTGGAAAACGAGAGGTAGAGCTAGGTATCATCAGCGTACTGATGATTCCGTACTTTTTCTTTAAAACATTTAGCTAAAAATGGAGGTGCATCTTATACACAGGGGGCACGCTCGGGGGCAGGGGGGGCGGCATGCGCAGCAGCAGCTTTCTCGCGGCAAATCATTAGGAAAAGTGGGGGTGTCCTATACATGGACTAGAAGTCCCTTTTTCCATTATAAATGGAAAAATACGTTAATTTTGTATTGTATTCTTTTATTATTATACTGTTGTTTTGATGCCATTGCAACTTAAATGCTTTGATACCTCTGCAAAAAGCAGAATGTAAATTTGAATAATAAATAGAAAAACATGTGATTATGATATTGAGAGCCAATGTGACCTAGTGACTAGAGTATTGGACTGGGGCTTGGAAAAGGGACTTCTAGTTTCATCTGGCCATGAAATTCATTGGGTTATTTTGGGTTATTCACGGACTCTCAGTCTAACCTACCTCAAGGACTATTGTGCGGATAAAATAGAGAAGAGGAGGCTCATGTATGTTGCCTTAGGTTCCTTGAGGAAAAAAATACAATGAGATATGAGATATAAATGTAATGATCAGTAAAATGCATATATATCAGTTATTAATCTGAAAATAAAGGGCAACAGTATGTGCCACACAGTACAGAAGAGGCTCAGGAACTAAGCTCTTCCCTTTTATACAAAAAACACCTCTTCCTTGTGCTTTAGTGCTTTGAATTGGTTTCATCCCTTGTTTTGAGGCAGTGGCAATAGTGGGAGGTATTGACACTGCACTGCCAGCTTTCTAGGGGTGTTTTAGTGCATTACAAACAGACTTTAGGGGCCACTTGAGTGGATGGGGGCAGAAACAAGGTTAAATGTATTAACAAAGATATTCTTTCTTGCAGAGAGATTGGCACAATCATTAGGTCACTAGGCTGCTGCCCAAGTGAGGGGGAATTGCATGATATGCTTGCAGAGGTAATGTACACATTTTATAAATTCTGTGTGATAATTTTATTCTGGAGCTCTGGCCTTTTTACCTAAATTAATTGAAGTTAAAAATATGAAATGGATGAATTTCATTCAGCAAATTAAGTATTTCGGTTTTCCTTGAGGCCACCTCTCATGTGGAATATTAAGCCCACTACCCCAATAACAGGTCAATAGGACACAATGTTGGCAATGTAACTTCCACTTTGTTGCATCTGCTACCACTCTGCTCAGGACAAGTGAGCTTCCCACAACACACAGTGGTACCTCAGGTGACAAATGCCTTGCTTCACAAACAAATCGGGTCACGAACAAAAATTTCTGAAAAATTTTGACTTGGGTCGCGAACACCGCTTTGGGTGGCGACCAAGATCGCAGCCATCTCCCCCCCCCCCCCCGCCCGCCGAGTGGGGAGATGCCACGATCGTAGTTTAGTTCGTACAGGGAAGGCGTGCGTGATCAGAGGCGCGCTGCTACAGGAAAGATGGGAGCAGCAAAGCAGAGCCACGGGGGAGATGGCCGAGATTCCACCTGTCTTTCCTGCACCAGCATGCCTCTGATCAGGCACCCTCTTCCCTGCAAGAAAGGAACTGCGATTGCATCCATCTCTCCCTCCCCCAGTGTGCCCGCGATCACGCCCGTCTCTCCCTCCCACCCCCCAGCGCACCGGGATGACGGGCGCATGCAGGGATGACAGGAGCGTGCAGGGATGACAGGCGCAATCTTGCTCGTGCTGCGGGGGCAGGGAGATGGCTGCACTTGTGCTTGGGGTGTGGGGGGGAGATGGCTGCGATCTTTGTTGTCACTTTGCTTCACATTTTTCTTATTTAAAAAATGGTTACAGAATGTATTAACCTTATTTACATTGAAGCTTCTGGGGAAATTTAACTTGGCTCATGACCAATTTGGGTCATGACCAGAGTCCTGGAATGGATTAAGTTCATGAGCCAAGGTACCACTGTACTTCTTATTTAATTCAGAATACAGGGACCCCCAGCTTAACTTCCATTTGCCTGATGAAGAGGTCTAAGCCCATCTTCTTTTCATTATCTTCTGTTAGCTTAAAGCCTGTTACATAATTCAATCAGTCAAGCAGCATGAACGGAACACTATCCCTTTTGTGGTTCATGAATCCAATCAACCCCAGAGTCAAATTTATCAAGTTTTATTAAAGGAGGACACATAGGAGGAAAATGCAAGAAAGCCAGCAGTTTTACAGAATAGGTTACTGATCTACATAAATCTATACTGAACTATCTGACATAGGAGGCACACTGTTGTAAAAAATAAGGGGCACTTTAATATTCTGTGTAACCTCTTGAGATGGCTAGCCTCAGCCATAGGCTACAGGGGCAAACATTCCATGTTTTATGTTATCTAAATGACAGCTGAGGGATAATCCACCGGTTGGGTGAGCTGTCTGGGGTTTGGTCTGAGATGCACATAGACAAGTCATGTGTGTGGAAAACAGCAATTAACATCAGAAATCCTTTCCACACAGGCTAAAATGGGAAGGCCATAGTTACTCTTTTCCTATTAGAAACCTTGTGGATGTAAAGAATTCCTGATCTGGATGACTTCATGAAACAGTGTCTAGATATTCTAGCCATATATATGGGAGACCTAAGGTGACAGGCCTTTTAGAGTCAGGTCTGTATAACACAATTTTTCAAAAGTGTTCTTAAGCTGACAGTTTTTATCTTGAAAGAAGGCAGTTGTGCAGGACTTGCATTCCTGATATCATGAAACTGTCCTCTTCATGGCTGCTTGCCTCCCAAAGGTACTGCAAAAAGCAGCTGATGGGAAATTACTGTGGAGTCCTGATCTAATCTTGTGTTGCAGAGAGCAATCAGGATTAAGGCTGTACCCTGTGGATATTTTTCCTTCAATCCCCCTTTTCCCTTGTTTTGTCTGTTTAAAAAGAAAGTGCGTGCATGTGTGCATGCACACACACATGTGTTGGGGCAAGTGTTACTGCTTTAACTGGTGATGAAAAATGTATGTAATATGTGGCAGGGAAAGTGTGTATTCCCATTGGAAGAGTGGAAAACATTGCACCTTGCCTCGAGCATACAACCTAAGGGAACTGTAAGGAAAAAATGTAGCCAAAATACAGATTGCTATGGATGGCTGGACAGTCATTTAACCAGGGTATTTGCTTTGCAGAGCCTTACTGACTATTTATAGGGCTGGTCCTACTATGAGCCACATGGCACAAGTGAAGGATTTGGAGGGGTGATGGATGGGTTCAGCAACCAAGCAGCTGCCACCAAGCAGCCCATCATGGAATGCCACTGCTGCTTTTTCTTCTATGACAAATGCTGTTCAGTTTGAAGCAGTATTTGCCACAGTGCAGCACTCCTGTATTGTGCTGGCAGCATCCTTCAGGGCTCCTTGGAGCTTCCTATGCTTTGCTCTAGGGAAGCAGTATTTGTTGCCAACCCAGCAAAGTGGTGACAAATCTAATTCTGAAACCACATCACCTGTAATGCCTGATGCAGAGTGGGGCATTGCAAGGTGAGATGACCCAGAAAACAGCCGCGCAATTGTTGAAAAGGAACTGCCTGGGGGCCTTACAGGGGACTTCAAGGGAAGGGCTAGTGTGCAACCCTGCATTAGCTGGTGCAGACTCTGAGTGAAGGAGCTCTCAATAGAGCAAGGTGACAAAAGGGCAAACGTGCAAGCACAAGGTTTCAGTGCTATGGAGTTCAGTGATCAAGGTCAAAAGCACAGTGGAGCACTATTGAGTCCAGTACATTGCATGGTCTAGAACCAGAGTCAAGCAGGAGTCCAAGAATGTGGAACGCGGAACATCAATTACAGGGCATAGTTCAAGGGACATGGTAGAGGATCCTGGCACTGTACTAAACATTTTTGTGTAAAAGAGAAGAGGCTAGGGTTAGGGATGAGCTCCAGTACATTAGTGTCCTCTGGCCAGAATCCTAGTTAAGAGGAGTCACTCTCTTACGGTGTTCACAAGCAGGTGTTTGCTTTTCAAGGAAGTCCTGCTGGCCACTTGAAATAATAAGATTCCTGTGCACTAGGAAGTTGCTGATCCTTTAGGCAGAGTTGCCTCTATCTGCAGCCATCTGCTATGAGGGCTCAGGTTGTTCCTGATCTAGTAACAGTGGTTGATCTTGCATGCTCTCAGTTCTTGGGAGTTCTAGCTCTTCCTCTGAGGAGGAGTCCTCTAGTGTGGCCAGGGCACTAAGCAGGCTAATTAAAATAAATGAATGCTCTTAACCCTTTTTACCTCACCTCCTTTTCTCTCCCCTTTCTTTGTTGTTTTGCCTCTGTTGAATTTTAGATGGTAAATTATTTGGCATAAGGAACTGTCCTATTGTGCTTTGTACCGTAACATACAATTATGTTGTATGTTAATTGGGAAGCACTATAATAATGATAATATTACAGTAAAAAAGAAAGTAGTCTTATTATCATGATCATTAAGACTACTATTTTCTTACTGTAATATTCAAATCATAATTTCAGTTACTTTCAAAAGATTGCAAGAGTTTGCCTGTTCTTTTTCAGAAAAATGTTTTGTATTCTTGTATTCATTTAGTATTCTAGTTTATTAAGTATTTTGTACTTATTTGGACCCAATTCTTATGCTTACTTATAACATGTTGTCTTAATTACAATTATTTAATTCATAATTTTCTTAGAAATTAAATCCCCTCAGGAAATACCAATGAAATTGATGGTGACATTGCGGCTCAATAATGTTACCATAGCAAAAGTGAATCTAGTAATAGGATCAGCAGTATAAGTTTAGTTCTTTGCACTTCCATAACAATTCATTGGCCAGTGTTGCCTTCTACACTGGGGCTAGATTGACCCTGCTTGCATTTTAAATATAGTGCTATAGGTAAATCTTTTGATAAAGAGTATGATAATGAATAATAAATAAATAATACATACAATTTTCATAGACTTTCTTTCAAGAGAAATAATTTCTCCAGTGGACACCATTACATATCATAACACTTGTAATAACTTACATTATAGGCAACAACAAAAACAACACAAAAGAAAGGCAAGTAAAATGAATTTTGAGGTGGGTAAATTAGTTTAAGAGGGCAATGAAAAGGAATGCAAATTCTGTTCAACTTATAAATGATTCTATTTTCAGTGATTTCTGGTTGGGTAGCTTTGCTGCAGCAAAAATAATAAACCATTTTGCAGCACCTTAAAGACTTAGTTTTGTGGCCTGTGTCTGTGGACTAGATTCCACCTTATCAGATGAATGAGGTGTCATCCTGAGCTGCATGTATATATATGCTGTAGTTTAGGATAATACTTTGTGAATTCCACTGTGTGAAAGTTTATGCCATTATACTGGTACATTTGCCTGTCTTTAAAGTGCCACAAGTTTCTCAGTTGTTTTGAGGATGAATGTTTTGCATAAATCTATAGCCACTAGAGGACAATGTTGAGTTACTGAAAAAAGCCATACTCTCTAGTTGTTTCATGTATAACTTGGGAGTTCTATACGAAGACATAAACTGGGCAAGAAAATAGTCAACATGGAAGTTTCTAAATGCACTTTGCTATACAGTCATTAGAATCTTTTATTAACCAGGCTCTCTGAATTTTAAGTTGTAAGTATGCAGGTAATGTTCTGCCATTCCTCCAGAATGTTTTCAAATGTTGAGATAATAACTTTCTGTATAGAATAGCCTATTTCTTATGAAGTCTTTATCCAAAGACATCTACCTGTACAAAATATTCAGAGGCTTTTTAAGGGAAGGTCATCATTAGAATACATTCTTTGCATGCGAAAGGTCCCCAAGTAAGCCTGGAAAGACTTCTTTTCAAAACTCTGGAGGCCTACTGCCAATAATTATAGACTCTGTAGGGCCAGATGAGCCAGTGGTCTAACTTGGTATAATGCAGCATCATGTGTTCTCAGGATAGCCTTGGAAAATCCCAAGCAACTTTTTAATGAGTATTTTTTCAAGTTCAAACATGATCTTGAGACTTCAGTGCAAGAGTAGTTTAAAGGAAAAGTGGCTTCTGCTTTTGCATATGGTGTCTTCCCCCTGGATTTTCCTTTAAACTTGAGATGCACTCTTCACTATAATTTCATTTGGCATGGTACAAGGGAGAGAGAGAGGGATGGAGTGGGAGCAGGATTTATTTGAATGGGCAGCAGGACGTGTTTCATGCATTTATTAAACAGTATACAGTGGAAATTAATTTTTTGTGCAGTTGGGAACATGAGCTTTCATCTTTTTATTGATGTCTTTTTGAAAAATTCTGAGGGATTCACACAATGGAGATAATGACCAGGGGACTGCACCTGATTTTTGTGCCATAGAAAATAATGTTTAGAATAAACCCTGGGTGGTAAATGACAGTGTGATGGCAGAGATAGCAAGAAAGACCTAGGTAATATGCAGTGTTGCAAACTCAGCAAACCATTGTCTACAATCCTAATAAAATTTTGCTGTGGGTCAGTAGTCCACTGAAAAAAGGTTCCTCCTTTAAACTGTCCTTTAACTCAGGAGTTTAAAAAGAACTATGTTGGGGGGTAGCTTATAAATAAGACTCTTGGAACAAATGTTGATACAAGCAAAGAGATGCATATACTTTGAATGTAAGAGCAAACTCAAAGAAAGAGAGAACAGGAACCATCTATGGTTGTGAGAGGTCCTTCTGCCATTAAGGCCTCTCAGTACATGTCCTTATAACCCACACAACCAAAATCAGGCATAGCAGGCCATGGTAAGTTGAAACGTGCTGCTCTTTCTGTTGGGGCATCCATTGAATCAGACTGTCATTGCTTTCCCTTCTTTCACTTGTGTATATGCAGGAGCAGATGCAGGGCCTGTGCACCAAGTGGGAACAGTCAGTGCTTTGTGTGAATCATAAGACATGTCTAGTCAATATTGCTGAACAGTGAGGCTAGCAGGGGGTGTGGACTGGTTTGGCATATCATCCTCTCTTTTTTGGTGTGCTTGCATGGTACAGATGAGCCATTTCTGGTTCTTGGATCTTGGCACCCAGGTAGAAGACAAGATGATTGTCTTTGATTTATTAATTCTTACAATGATTGACCTGTTCCAGCTCGAGTGATCTAGGTTTTTTCTTCCCCTTTTCCAGTGTGTCATCTTAATCACAGATTTATTTGTTTTTATTTTTAGGTAGAAGAAGAAGAACCAACTGGATTTATTCGTTTGGAAAAGTTTCTTCCTATGATGACTAGAGTATTAATGGAAAGAAGGTAAAAAAGGAATTACAGTTTCTATGATTGGAGTCATGCACATATGGCCCCTTTGATTCAGGATTATTCTATAGCTGAATACATAATACCAGTTTTAAAGAGTAGTGATAAAAATTAGGTTGCAATCCTGTACATGTCTAAACAAAGCGTGCAATCCTATACTTGCCTAAGTTCATTCCATTAGTAGATTTTGTTTTTAAAATATTTGGATGTATGTAGCCACTGAATTGGTGTTTTGTTGTTGTTAGTTGCAAAGTTGCATCCAACCCATCACTACCCCATGGACAACATAGCTTATTCTACCTAATTGACTTCATTTTGTTTAACGTTCAGAAGTCATGTCTTCAGTAAAATGCCAGCAGTTTTTTTTTTAAAAAGAGATCAATAATGATTTGAGTTTTGCTTCCCTCTCTCTCTCTCATTTATATATATGTCAAACTGTAGCATGAGTTTATGTACTTGGAATAGATAGGTAAGACATGATTTTGTGTGTGGGAAGGCATAGGATAGTTCAGATTCTGAGCTCCAAGGTCAGAGACAGTGCTCTGACCTTTGAGTTGGTAACACACCCTTCCTTACTTGTGTAGCTGGTACAGAAAGAAACACACTGACTGCTTCCCAATGTTGGGGAAGTAACCTCAGAGAGAGGAAGCTACAGACGGGCCAGGGTACAACGCCTCAGCTTGATGGCTGAAGATTGCTGTCTACCAATAATAGTCTTCTCTGCTCCTCTCTGCATTGAGGGTCTGTAAGCCTCTGAATTCAGAGCCTTATGGGTACCATTGTAGGATTGCACACTTATTGTATCTAATTAGCAGTGCAAATGTTAAGTAGTATGAAGCATATAAATTCTTATGGATTTTCATAAGGAATAGAAGTGAACTGAACTTCAATTGTACTGTAAACATATTTATATATTGGGCAATTTCCATTGCAACAGTACTGCTACCATTAATTACACTGTTGTAATGTAAAAGACCTCTAGCACAACACCAACAGTGCCTGCTGGAGTGATAGGTTTTTTGAGGATGGAAAACCTGATTTATGTAAGCAGTAGTGTTGCACTGGATAATTCCTGTACTTACTAATATTCCACTTTTCCACTGAAAAACATGCTCAAGATAGCAAACAGTAAAATATTGTTATAATATACATTGTAATGAAAGCACTGTTAAAAATACAGGGCAACCACTTTAGGTTATCACACTATTTGAAATATTGCAAATAATGTCTTCGTTTCTCTAGAAATATACTCTCAGATTACTGCAAAACTCTCAGTATCTAATTTCTAAGATAAGTATCTGGAGAAGTAATTCCTTGCCCTCTAGCCAGGAATACCATTAATCCCAGATGTGAGAAGTTGGTATGTGATATTTGGTGGTTAGAGGAAAGCAGTACGTATTTAGGAAAGTTGTCATTATTATTTTTCGTAGATTCAAAATAGGTTTCAAGTTAAAGCCTAGTTTGCTCTGAATCTGATTAAGCGCGGAGGTTTGCTAGTTCCCTTTTAATACTGTATATGTTAGTGAGGGAATATAAAAGTCATTTATGTCTAAATAAAAGGTTCACTGAGATGATTCCTTTCTTCCTAAATCTTTGTGATTATTCATCTTGCTTCTACTGAATGTCAGTTAATTTCTAAAACTTGCTTTAATGTGCAACATGCCATAAACATGCTGTTGAGGCCCTCAATCCATTGATTCTGCAAGATGTCATCATTCATTCTGAGGGTACCATGTCTGAGGCAGCTTAGGATTTCATGGTCTCCATGACAGCCATGGGACCCCCTCAGCATGTCAACAGCCCAGCACATATTCTCCAGAATAGAGCTTGAACTGCTCTATGGTATGCAGAATTCCTTTATCCGCAGAGGCAGATTTCAGGCCCCACGGTGGATGCCTGTAAGCTCAGATAATAACAAACACTATAGGTACTATATACTGTATGTATACATTGCTTTTTTCACAATTTCATGGATAGAAGATTTGTTCTTACCATACATCATAGCAACCTCAGCATATGATTTTTTTTTCTTTCTGTATTAAATCAAGAATTTTCACTTAAAGGAAGAACTTTATGGCTTCTCTTGCGGACCAAGGTCAGCTGCAGTTAAGTGGAAACATGGTAACTGCACCCACCGATACAGGGGTCCTGCTGTATCCTTCAGAGCTGAGAGTAATGAAGCAAAGTAGGAAACAGCTTGAATGCAGTTGGAGAAAAACTTGTAGTAAATGCAATCAGACACTGGTGTGTACTTATTGTCATGTACATCCACGGCAGGAAGATTAGCAAGGAAAGAAGACCTTGTTGCCCCTATCAAATCCTCTGTTTTCCACCGCTGAGCTTTTCAGGTTCATTCAGGACCTAAGGACACTGTAAACATGTCTAATGTCCATTGTAATACACTTGCAAGGCATTGATGAAAGAAAATTGTTTGCATCCACTGTGTAAGGTCTGAGATGTGGGCAACAGGAAGCTAATCAGAGGCATCAGGACTTGGAAAACACAGTCAATCAATTGCATGGGCAAAGTCCAGTCACCAGTCAAATCCAAGTCAGCATCCATAGCAAGCCAAGATCAAAAAATCAGGAGCAAACAAGATAGCAACCAAAGCATAGTGCAGATAACAAAAAGCATAGTCAAAACAAGCCAGAAGTCAGGAGCCAAGAAGATAGCATGAGGGTGGAGATACCTGTGGAACAGGTGCAGGAACACAAGTAGGGTCCAGGAGCAAGGTCCAAGGTCCAGAACAGGAGCCAGGCATCACAGAGAGCTTCAGCACCCTGGAGGCTAGTGTTGCTGAAGCAACTTCTGGAGGAAAGAGCCAATTCTTAAATAACTCTTCCTCCAAGACTCCCAGGCAGTGCTCATGAAGGCCCTGGCAGCTGCAGCAGAGTCTGGGACCAATGCTCCATCTTCCAGGGCTGTTATTCTGGCATTGGGCCAGCAGGAGGAGCACTAAAGCTGCCCATATCCTGACACAGCAGTACTTAGACTCCAATATTACAACAGGTGAAGCAGGTAAGGTATCCAGAGCACAGCCTTGACCATTTTTTGGGATGAGTTTCAGGTTCATACAACTTGAGGATGTTGACAAGCATGTAAACAAGTTCATGTGTTCACTCCTGTAGTGCATCCTTACCCCTATTGGCTTATAAAACTTGGCAGAGAGGGATCAGCTGGCTGGACTAGGGAGGTGATTAATGCCTGCTTGGGGTAATCCTGGGCTTTCTGAAAAAGGTGAAAGTGAGATCACTCTTGAAGAAACCCTTCCCAAATCCAGAATATCTTAATTCTAGGCCAGTGGTAAATGCTTGATTCCTGGTCAAGGTCCTTAAGTGGGTGGTTGCCAACCAGCTCCAGATCCTCTTGGATGAGACTGATTATCTGAAGCAATTTCATTGGGGTTCAGGTTTTGGCATGGAAAAAGCTTTGGTCACCCTGTATAATCTATGTCTGAAGGGAGATGGGAGATTGTGTGGAATTGATTCTTCTTAAACTCTCAGTAGCTTCTAATACCATCAAAATTCTGGGATATTTGAACTGGGAGGGTGGTGGTGCACTGCAGTGGTTTTACTCCTACTTGAAGGTAGTGCTTGGGCAATATTGCTCAGCCCTGTAGATTCTCCAATGTGGGGTTCCACAGCTGGAATTCTACAATGCATTGCCATAAGTATGATGACACTGGTAGAAGGGATTCCAGACACTGGCCTAACTAGAGACAGAGATAACCTGGCATCATTTGCCTATACTCTGGTAACTTCCATATTACGAGATTACTGGAATGTGTATTGTGTGGGCTTCCTTTAAAGACAGTTCAAAGCTGCAGCTCAAGCAAACTGTGATGGCCAGATTGATACCAGGGACAAGAAGATCGGGTATATAATCCCTATACTCTGCTTGTAGAAGCTACCTACATGTTTCCAAGCCAATTTCAGGTTGTTAGTTTTGACCTATAAAGCCTTAGACAGGTTAGGATTGTGATGCCTCTCCCAATACTAACCTATACATATGATACATTCATCATCTAAGGCCCTTCTCCCATTGCCTTCTCTGAGCAATGGGAGAAAACATCAACAAGGGAGAGGAGTTTCTCAGTTATACAACGAGCTCTCCAACACGGCCCACTGGGCACCAACATTGTCATCTTTTTGGCACCTGGTTAAGATCTTCTCTCAGGCATTTGGCAGCTTATGATGAAGGCTTTTTAAAATCAGGGTTAGGTTACTGGATCTTTCTTATTGTTTAAAAATTGACTGTGTGTGTGTATTGTCTGTTTATATGCTTATATGTAAATAGGTCTTTATACTATGCATAATGTATTTTTAGTGGTTTTTTACTTTTGTATGCTTCCAGGACTGCCTTGGCTATTACTATAGTCATACCAATATATGGACAGCTTAGGGTATTATTAAAAATACTGAATCAATCCATAAATCAATCATAAGCTAACCCAATGCAATTCTCATAGGACATGGCTTTAAAATGATGTTTGTGGCCTTGGTGTTATGCTGATTCAAATATACCAGCACAAATATTTATTAATCGTGGAGCAGGGGCAGGAATACCATGTTTCCAAAGTAGCAGAGTGATCTTTCAGATGCATGGTATATCACTATGTCAATTTTATTAATTAAATTATTTCAGGTACAGGCCAATTCCGGAAGATGTTCTTTTACGTGCATTTGAGGTAAGTATCAGTACAATTTTACTCATGAGGTAGGGAAATACTTCTCAAATACTGAGGATGTAGGGTAAAAATCTGTATATCTTCTAGTCTCTTTCTTTTTAGGTTTTAGATCAGAATAAATGTGGACATCTTACCAAGGATGAGTTGATCAAGTATATGACAGAAGAAGGTAAAATGTATTGCTTTTGAGAAAATAATGTAATTTTATAATGCCTTGAGTATCTCTGTGTGATAAAAGATTGCAGTAATAATTAGCAGTTGGAGCAAAATCCAATCACCTAAATACTATTAGCTCTTCCCCAGTACCAAATCAGGGACAGAAGCAGTGTATGATGAGAGGAGTAACTGCAGTCATGGAACTTGAGTGGGCCATGGTCCAGCAGCTTCCTTGTCTTTCTCAAACAGACCATCCAATAAAATTGGCTGCTGATCTGGAAGGTACAGTGTACCCATTTTGGCTCAGTTCCACATAACTTGCTAGCATGTCTTGTATATGGCTGAGGAACTAATTCAGGAGAGGGGATTTTGGCCATGCGGCAGAGGTTCCTTAACCTTGCATTATACTGCTATATGTGTTTGGAAAACATTTGACATGTACTTCTTGACTATGTAATCATTAAGTAGAACTTGTTGAAACATGACTATCAGTAATATAGTATGTATGTATGTATGTGTGTGTATACTGTATATAATACATATAAAATAATAATATATATAAAATACTATTTTTGATGTGAATTTTTAAAACCCTCAAATGTCAAACAGTAGAAAATTTCACAGGCATCTATAAATCTTATTTCTGCTTTAGGTGAGCCTTTCACACAGGAAGAAATGGAGGAAATGCTTTCTGCTGCTGTAGATCCAGAGACAAATACTGTTCGCTACAAAGACTACATTTCAATGATGGTTGTGGATGAAAACTAAACACCTTGTGTAACTCATGTGTCTGAACCTTCTGCCTGATACTTTTGAATTGATTTCATTGGAGTTGCTTTGTATTTGCCAAGGGATTTCAACAGAAGCTTATGTTGAAAAAGTGTATCTATGGGAATATTGTCCTTTTTACTTAGTATTTAGTAAATACAAAGAATCCAAAAGATAGTGTAAAACATCAGTGTGTGAATAAGAAACAGTTTGTAAAATTCAAGTGTTCCAAAGAAAACATTAATGCTGCAATCTGATAAATGCCTGCTCACAGGCAAGACCCAATGAGTATAACAGGGCTTACTTACAGGTAATTGGTTATAGGATCGTAGCCCAAAGGCTGCAAGTTTTCTTATTAAGGAGTAAGTACCATAGAACACAGTGAGCTTTACTGCCAAGCAAATGTGCATATCCTGCATCTGTGAAATAAAATAATGGTAGTTTTGAGGGGGGAAATCACTCCTATGTTTAGACATAGAAAATAAAAAAAGTAGTGTTTCCAAAATGCAAGGAAATAGGCAGGTAAATCATGTCACAACTAACATTTTGAAGGTAACATTATTAGAAATACAGCCAATAATTAGAATTGATCTTTATATTTGGTTAGCATAGATACCTATTTGTAAAATAAGATGACTTTGTTAAGGAGTTATTAAGGAAGTTGTGCAAAGTTCTGTTGAACAGTCAAACTCGACTGAGTTATTTATTAAGGCTGACATTTTTAAGGGAGCTGTTGTTGAAAGGATTTTCTGGAACTAAAAGGTTCACCGGTGAGGGCTTTTGCCTTGGGAACACTCTTTTCCCCTTATCCAAGAGAGGCATTTTGTTGACTTTCAGGTGGGCTGCTGCAATGCCTCTCTGTTTACTCAGGGTATGTTTTTTAAATCTATCCTAGGAGGTTGGTTTGCATCTTCTTTTCTCCTATTGAATTTTGTTTGTGCTGAAAATTTCCCCAGAGGCTTACCACACAATTTCTTGTTGATGTACTTTTATAGTTATCTAGGAATTAAGCCTAGGAATTATCTAGCCTAAGAATCCATTAAAAACTAGGCCCCATTGTATTTAGGGTGTTTAAACACACTTGGAAAAACACAAATGGCTCACAGTTGGCAAACTGAAGACCAAATAGTGGATAAGGCAGGTATACTAGAATGGTCTCACAGACAGTGGAAATGAAAAGCATTGAGCAAGTGAGACCATGTATTTTACTGAGTCAGGTCATGCTGCACATACAGCAGATGTAAAGTTTTGCACTTTTAGGAATATCCTCTTAGCTTTCCCAGGCATTTCTGCTGCTCAGATTCTCAGCCAATAATCTCCCCACCTTCCTTTACTGCTTTCCATTCCTACCAACAAGATGGAGCCCGTCTTGTCCCTTGGGCCTCTGTGAGGTTTTACTACCGCAAAGAAGTGACCCTTGTGCTTATATGGGATTTTACTCCCTTAGAGAACATTTATCAATATTCTACTGCTAGCAGCTTTCCTGATCATTTTATGAACGTTTGTTGGCTTTATAGCAGACAGCTGAAGAGAGTGGAGCATAATACAATGCATTTGCAGTGATGTAAATTTTTAGTGCATTATGTATATGAGATAATCAGGAAAAAATGAACCAGTAAGCAAAAATAGCAGTGCACTGGAAGGGAGCATTTGTGCTATAAAATATTGACCCTAGAATAGATACCATATCTTTTGAGGGGCTTTGTGCATTTGCTGGTGTTTTATTTCCATACTGCTACACAACCACCAGTGTGATCTGCACTTCCTCAGAAACTGAGTGACATTGTACTGAGTCACCATTGTTTATGTACATTCTTTGTTCAGCTCATATTAACTAAAAGTTGCATGTGGTACAGGAGGATCTTGTTTTGTTTTGTCTGACAAAAGAAGACATATGAATTCAGAAGTACAAAACTTATCTTAGTATCATTGTATCTACTTTTGCACCTAACATGTCCAGCTGCTAATATTGATGAATGTGGCATGTCTAAAATACTACTAAAATTTCTTGAAATCCATGCTTTTATAGATGATCCATATGGGAATGAATGATATTTAATATGTTTCCACATTTAATGGACAGGTTCACACATCACTGTGGGTTTACTGTGGGTTGTTTGTCCACTCTTCCCCCTACAGTCTTCCAGGGACATAATGGGAAGGCCAAGTTCTTCCCTCTCCCCATTGCATTTGTGAGCCATGGTATTTTTTCTCTTTAAAGTTTTTCCCCCTGGAGATCATAAAAGCCAGCTGTTAAGCTGGCTTTCACAATCCTGGTTTTGACAGGTATGGACAGTCCCTACAACATGCCCAAGTAACACCCTGGGGGTGGGGGATGTGTGTAATTGCCCAAATTGTTTAAAATATGTTTCCCCCCTAGTAATTTCCACAAATATATATGAATTATTATAATTTACCCACACTTTTACAACTGCAAGCATTTCATAGTTACATAGGTGTGGGAATTGGGAGCCAGTGGGCAGTATGCAGAGGAATGCCTTTTAAAAAGGGGGAAAGCCCTAGAGAATCCATCTGGATTAGTGGGAAGCATACAAACAAAGCAAGCCATGGCAAGCCCAGAACAGCTCACAAACATGGTATGTGTGTGTGTTGGGGTGGGGTGCCAGTGCCTTCTGCCCCCAAGTACAGCAAAGGACTTGGCCAATTCTCTTAATTTACTATAAGATCATAAGGAAAGCCACGCTGGATCAGACCAAAGGTCTATCTAGCCCAGCACTCCATTCACACAGTGGCAATCCAGCCACCCACAGGTTCCCTGAAGCAGGATGGGAGCAAGACCTCCTGCTTAAACCCCTCAGCAACTGGTGTATGCAGGCATGCCACCTCTGCTAAAGGAAGTAGCACAGAGCCAGGTAGTACATAGCTGTGGCATGTGGCCATAAGGGACTATGAGGTCCCTTACCCCCATTCACCTGACATGACAACCTAATGTGAGTATAACAAGCCTTACAAAAGCCCATGGGTTACTGGAGTGGCTTGTTGCCCATAGATAAGTCATCCTGCAGAAAACAGGGATATCAACCTATGATGAATTGTTATGTTTTGTGAACCCCGTTAATGTGAAAATTTTCTCACCCATTTCTGCTGCTCCTGTATTGATGTGAATATTCCATGAGTATAGGCAGAGGTGTGGAGAGGAGGCATTTACTGTTACTCTCCATCACCTGGATTGCTTACACAGAGAAGAGTAACTGGATGTGGTAATGAACATCAGAATCAGTCATCATTCTGCACTGAGTTGAAATGAAAGAATAGTTTGGTTGTAAACTATGAACCCTAATATGAGAAACTGCCTGGGTCAGTGGAAGCAAGGCAGAGGGTCATATGGACAATATTAAAACTGGCCCAAATGGCTTGCTTTTAAGCTGTATAGTATGAGAAGGAAAATTACAACAGACACAATGGAAGGGGACATTGCATTCTCTTTAAATGAAGCATTTTATATTTTTCTAGTGCTTGTGTGCAGTGGGCTAAGACCACCAAATAGACTTCATGTGAACTAAAGATGAATAATAAGGAAAGAAGACAAGCTTCTGCTCTGCCAGTAAATATTGGAAAATTCAAATGATGTTCAAACAATTAAAATGTATGACTTCCTGTAGTTTTGGCCTCTACAGACAACTCTATTGACAATGCACTGAATTTGCTTTTAAATAATGCAATATTAAATTATATTCCCATTCATGAATTGCTAATCAAAATTTTTGATATAATTATGAGATTTACAGTACAAAATTTAGGAATTTTACAAAGAATATCATGGCAATTACTAATGTAATACTTGATTCCAAAATGGTTCTCCTGAATTTGTTTGTCTCAGGGTGCTTTTAATTTTAGCTTTTTTTGTCACATAAAAGAAATGGCATTTTGTTTCAAAGGAGAGTGCAGGATGACAATCCAGTAAGAATTTCATGTATATAAAATGCTGATGAACATGAAGGCATCAAATGAATGTGGGATTAATATATCTATACATCTAATCCCATTGAAGCTAATGGGTTTAAGAGTGTTTAACTGTCTATATAGTTATGGCCAACTTCTTCCTTAGCCATCACATAGCTGGAATTCCTTTCTTCACCTAGCCACCCTAAACAGTTAAAGCAAGTAAGCAAATTAAATGTATGATGTCTTCAGTACTCATTTTTATCTAAACCAGGCACTGGAAAACTAAAAAATTTCCATCTTCCTTATACCAATGGAAATTGGTCCATATATACTTGTGTATTAGATGACTCTTGAAACTGAAAATAGGAAAGCAAAAATCAAGGGACATCTTATACAGCAGCTGAATTTTTTTTATCATTTTTTAAAAAGATCAGGATAGATAATAAAGACAATTTTATTTACAAATCTGTTTTTATTAATATTCATAAAGAAAACTTCTTACTGGTATATACTGATACCAAAGTGACCAACTGCACTGGATAATTTGCTTTGTCTTCCAAATTTAGTAGGTCTTCAACATTTTCAGCTTCATCTTGTAGACTATCTTCATACGGATCCCAGTCCAACTCCAGGAAACTATTTTCTTCTTTCATAGTTCATGGTTTAGGGTCAAAAAGAAAGATATCACATCAGTTTACAAAACTTTCTCAAGATGCAGATAACACAGGTAGGAGTGAAGGTGTATAGAAGACAAATGTGAGCTCAAGTGAAATTGTAGAGGTAACTTGACTATTAACTAGAATAACACTATGTCAGGAGAATATAGAAGTTTCCAGCTGACAAATGCCAACACATAAGACCACCAAAGTATAAGAAAACCTTTGTAACTGAAAATAGGGAAGCAAAATTTGAGGATCATCTTATATGCCCAGCATATGACAAACACCAGAAAAACAGCCCAAAGTATTGATCTCATCTCACATAAGTCATGTTATACACTGGTATATGCAGTATGTTGAACCTCCTAATCCAGAGATTAATACATTGGCCATTGACTACTGAAAAAGAGGAAGCATTCAAATTAATTTGAATTG